AAGTCTTCTTCCATTCCTTTCTTCATGGATGCGCTACTTATCGACTTTATTAGGTTGGTCGAAAAGTCCTGCGACACTTTGACCAATTTTTTGGACTAAATTTTCAGTTACTAAAAGACATCTCCAATCTACAAGGTAATCACCACTAAGGACTAGGACTAGTGCCCTTCTTTTGCACAGCTTCTCATTTCCATTCTTATAGAACTACGGCAACTATGATAAGAAGAAGAGGTGGACCTCATTTTTGAGTAGACGTCGATTTTCGGAATTTTTGCCTTCTTAAGGATGCGGTAGGGATCAAAAAAGGTAGTAGTTAGAGACTGCTAACTTTGATGAATAAGCTGGGTATGTCGCATTCTCAGATGAAGATCCACGATCTTTTGGTGTGGCCAGTATCGCTAACTATGCCAGTCTTGCTTGCCGAGCGGGGAGAAAAAGTTCGAGTTATTTTTGAAGTTAATTCAAACGTGACGTCATCCATGTTGTGAGGTTGGTTAGAGTGGATGTAGTCCTTACCGTTATGCTAGTATCCAGAGATACCGCTTTGAAGTCCCACCAATAACCTACTGAAATCTTTATCCCATGCACATCTGCTTTTGGCTGTGCAATCTACTTTTCTGTTTTGGAGAGTCCTGCGCAGGAAGCATGTGCAAAGATGTACGCAGGACGCCCACCACTCTCCACCAACCACAAGATCTCACAATGTTCCTCCATTGTGTACAAGGAAAAAAAAAACTCAGTCACGGTCATTCGGTATGACTTGTCATCAGGTTCAACTCATGCAGCATCCATTCATAAAAATTTTCTCATAAGCGCGAGACTGCGGAGGATAGCCATGGCAGTTGTCAGTTAGGTGGAGCCTAGAGAGGTTGCTAACTTACTGGTGGTTACGTTCGGCTGCGTTCCAAGAAGCTTGAGTAAAGGCCCGTCATTCTGTGCTGGTGGCCGACCTATAGATTGCCTACTTCCGAGTTGAATAAGTCCAGCCTGGAAGCGCTGATGCAAAAGGAACTCTCTGCTATGGCAAGCGATATCCTTCCTCAAGACAACATAAGTGTTAGCTTCCTCGACTATGGCGGAGTTGCCCTACAGGAGCTCATAATATGGCATATAAGGTGAGAAGTACCTTGATCTCTGAGGTATTTTTAATCTTTGAAACTTCTACGGAGCCATGATAGACCCATTTTCAGAAACCCCAGGAGACATTCTCCACTAATCAGAAATGAAAACATTCAAAATGATTTTCGTTCTTTTTCTAGAATGTTTCAAAACAAAGTTGTCGGCAGACTTTTTCGACCAACCTAATAGTTTAGTTTCATCTTTGCCTTAGTGGGCGCGATGTGCCTCGAGTGGGAGTCAGTCTTCAGCATGTCAACGTCAGTAGGTGACAGGGAAGTTAACCGGTCGCGATGAAGACAGTGCCCCACCCACTGCCCTACACCACTCCCAACGTTCATTTGGAAAGGATTGCAGGTGGAGCTGTCGCTACTAACTCTTTCCATTCCGAATGGTAAGAGTAAGGCGATAAGGAAAAAGACTTAAGAGATGTTCGCGCATGCAACAAAGCTACGCCCTGTACAGGAGGATAAAGTGAGACTGCTTTCATATTTTGCAGCGTCCACTAGCGTTTCCGAACGTCTGGCAGCGTCACTTCGACCGTAGCGACGTCAGCGAGCGTAAAGATATTGATCTAGCGTCGATCTATAGATATCGATATAATGTCATCGTCTGCCAGCTGGAACGATATCTATACTTTCCTAGTCGCTGATGCTGCAGGGCGTTCGGAACACTGGTAAACACTATTGGTCGCTGGTAGGCGCAAGAGAAAGTAGACGAAGCTAACAATGCAGCCTGAGAGAGGCCACATATTCTGACGTTGGCTAAGCCGTCTTGGAGCAGGTCACGCTGCCTTGGTGAGATGGTGCAGACGAGCAGTCATGGCGTGTATTAGCCATGATGGTAGGTGACTCATGCGCACCCCGCACGGCTTGACGGAAGGGATGTAAACATCAACGGTTGGGGTACACCAAGGATCAGTTCTCAGCCCTTCCTCTTCCTCCTGACTCTAGATGTTATTCGTCAAAGACGTCATAGCGGGGAGGGAGGGACCACTGAAAACCATCCTCTACGCTGACGACATCGCCCTGATAGCGGACAGCAGGAAAGAACTCCAGGACAAGGTGCAGCGGTGGCAGGATGTCCTCGCTGAATGGAATTCGGCTGAACGGCAGAGTTCATGGAGCTCTGAAGAGTCTAGCGAACCCATCGTAGACTACCATGACGAAACACTTGTACCGCTCGAAAGGGTCGAGGACTTCAGTACCTGGGGAGCGACCTAGCAGCTGATGGCAGCGTGGACCAGGCGGTGAAGACCCGAATCAACGCAGCCTGGATGAAATGGAGGGAGTCCACTGGCATCCTGTGCGACCGGCGGTGCTCGAGAACACTCAAGGGCAAGGTGTACCGGGCGGTGGTAAGGCCTACAATGCTCTACGGCAGTGAGTGCTGGCTTATCTGGGCAGACGCATGAAGGCAGCTTCATCAGCGAAATGAGACGCTAATACGGGCCTCCGGCTAGACACGACTCGACAGAGTCAGAAACGAGGACGTCAAGGCGGTCACACAGACTGCTCCGATCCAGCTGAAGGCACGAGAGCAGCGACTGCGATGGTATGGGCACGTGCTGAGAAGGCCTGAGGACCACCCAATAAGGAAGGCATTGGAATTCGAAGCAGAGGGCAAGCGACCACGAGGAGCCCCAAAGAAAAGATGGAGGGACTCATCAGAGGTACTTAACCTGAATTGAGACGCCACGGATAGAAGATGCAGTGGTCGGAACAAGTGGCGACGTCTACAAAACAGCGGATCTTGCGACGGGCGGCGGGACGACAAGCCCTAATGTAAGAAGAAGAAGAAGAAGGTGGGTGAGTCCCTCGAGGCACATAGTGCCTTGCCACGCGAACATCCCAACTCTGCCGCTGTTGAACCTATGGAATTCGCATTTGACACAAACTCCCTTATAGCACTTAAGTGGAGTAGATCTTGTCACTAATTTCAGCTCTACGAGACGTACCACATAGAATTTGTAGCATTACATTAACATGTATTAAAAATAGGACCTCACGTCATCAGTGTTTCCCATTGCTGCCGGGCTCCCTCGTGAATGCCAATTTCATTAACGTTCGAAAATACGTAAAACATTGGACGTTCCTCATGATGTCATCCCTGTCGCTCATGTTTAAGTCGACTGGGAGGGCTCTCCGAGATGGGTATCCAGAATTATTCCGTTTTTATTCGTTCCTCTAGGATTTCGTTCTTCGAAGGACATTTTGCGGAACTGCCTAGGGGCTAGCAGTAGTGAGGGCTAGTGGCAGCGTGTGCTTGGAATCACGTTACATCATCGTGATCAGGACACTTTGCTGAGTACCACTCGCTAACACTTCCTCCCTCAGTACGACCCCTACAGGAGCCTAAGGAGGTGTTATAGCGTGCCTGAAATCGGAAAAAAGATACATCGAAAAAAATTTCCATGAGGACAGGATACTCCACTCGCACATGGCTCAGTCGCCGAATGTTCCACTGAATGCGCCTTAGACTGATTTTTTTCAGGTCTCCCTCCATAGTTTATGTAGAGCAGCTTACTGGCATGGCGTTATGAAAGTTCTTCATGAAAAAGTCCAAGTGATCGAATTGCTGGCCGAACATAGTGTCGTTTGCTCCTGCAGGGACTGTGCTATAAAAAAAATTTTTTTGTCTTGCTGTAACAGTGCTAGCTATACTTGTCTATCAGAGAACTTACGAGGAATTCTCTGCAAACTTGAGCATCTTCTGGCCAGGAGGCAGGGCAGACTGATGTACGCGCGCGCAACACAGGTATAACTTGCTGCAAACCATGTGATATTACGTTCAGGATGCTGATACCGCCTGAGACGATTTCAGCCAAAACATGGCGTTTCAACACACAAAAAACAAATTAGTGAAACTGAAAAGTACACAATCGATCTAGCGTCCTCGGCGTCTATCCAGCAGTCCTATCAAGGCTTTGAGGACTAAGAAAGTAAGTATGTCGTGTCTAAGAGTCTTGCTGGGTGCACAGCATCTACCAGCGTCCGGTAGAGGAGAGTATTCTGCAAGAGGGCAGTGGACAGCTGGTGCCCTACTATCGCGCCATAACCGCTACCAGCAATTTACCCCCCCCCGCACCTCCTCCCGCCAGCCCTGCCTTCTCCCCATAACTCCATGAGCTGTCCGCTTCTTTAGACGAATCTGGTAGGATAGTGTACTTTTGGACGTCCTCGTCAAAACTGATCCGGGCCTTGGATCCCGAGATACATATGCTGGTCTACAGTCTTTTTGTAGTGCTGATGTTGTTGAGATCAACGTTATGTTAAACTGCCTCCGAATATACTCTCTCAAAGGAGAGGAGAGGTAACCCATGAGGATAGCTACTTCATTTATAGAGGAAGAAAAACAAATGTATCGAAGGAAAACACAGATGGTCCGTTTCGCCCCACCCTGACACGAACCAGCGTTATTAGCGGCAGCTATGGCCGACTAGGTCGCTGAGGAGGCTTCGAAAGTCTCAGGAAAATTTCTCGACACCTTCGAGATGTTTTGAGTTTCGAAAGTTGTTGTGCGTAAGTGTTGGTGCCCTTTCGCGAGTTACAACATTTAGATCCTACTGAGGTTTTGGGACAGCACAAAAAAGATACAGACAGAAGGATTGCCGACACTAACAACGTTATATTTACAGGACTTATTGTGCTGAAATAGGTTGAGTGTGATAGGGACTCAGATAGTTTCCCAAGCCTAAAGGTGGGAAGTAGCTCCCCTTTGGTTACTACTTCAGGCACAGTACTTCTATTCGGATGAGGCTACCCACAGATCGCACAGGGTGTTCCTGATGTGCCCCTCCGAGCTTAATAGCGCCGGCTTGCCTTCCATTTTGAAATGATGAGCATCGAATAAGACTTGGCAGTTAATGAAATTTCCTTTTCAGGCCATCGTACGCATGGTTACGTGCACTTTCGGTCCGCCAACCGGTTGCTCGTCAAGTCTCGTTATCATTCGAGCAATGGAGTCCAGAGGATATATCGACTTCGTTATCACATATCGATTATAAAGTACTTAGTAGGATTTCTGTGAGTTTTGTTGCTCTACCACGTTTACAAATTGATCTTTTTTTGTTACTGTCATAGAGAAAATTGGGATGTTGGCAGAATTCCTCATATTCTAGAGCCCTCTTTTGTTTTCCAGGCTGAACATCTCGGGTCAACTAAACGGTTCAGCCGCTCTCGACTGATTAGATCTTCTGAATAGAACTTGAAATTGATTGATTACGCCCTTCCCTCTGCTAGATAGTGAAATTTCGGGAAAAGTGGACATGGGGAAAGTGCAGCCATTATCCCTGCAAACGACAGGACATATAAAGGGCGTGAATTGGATCACCCAGTGCGCTATATCCCACCAAGTGATGCAATCCTGAGCCTCCAACTGGAGGAAAAGGCGGCTGCGCTCAAATCCGCGGCTTTTAACATGCTCTTTTGATGATACCTACATCGAAAGTCATCATCACTGACTATGAGGGCCCTGGTCGTGCCAGGGCCCTGTCACCATTAGGAGGGTAGCCCCGTCACCACCATTCCACTGACCCGAAGGTTGACCGTGCTAGTCTCGCAAATTCGTGTAGTGGAATCCGCTAAGAATAGACTTCTCCTTGGTCTGGGTGCAGGCCAAGAGAATCGAGTGGTGCCGACACACAGACAGTAGCTTGGCATCTCTTAATTAGTCGACATAACTCACTGTAGCCAGGGTACAGCATCGTTGTGTTAAACACATGATGGGGGGTCGTACTTGGCCGCTGGGGAGGGGATGTGGTATTTGGTCGCTTGTTGGGAGAGGGAGGTCATATGTGCCTTTGAGAGAAATTTGCCGCGTTGGGAAAAATTTTTCCCGGTTGTTGACTTTTCGCGGTTTTTCCCGTTTCACATTGGCTGTATGCCCCCCCCCCCTTCCTACCCCCTCCCGCTTGCTGCACGGAGAATTTTTGGGTGAAAAACTGGAAAATTGGGAAATTTCCGAAAAAAAAACTGGTAGGAACTGAGAGCTGGGAACTTGTAGTGGTAGGTATTGGGAAAGGCGGGCTGGGAGATCCTCTTTAGAAGTCGGGGGGGGGGGCTAATGACACCACCATTTCACACATCACGATAGCGCAAATGTCGCTTACTCGACGCAAAATCACTCTCGTCGTCGTCGCAGCGGTGCCAGCCAGGAGATCCATGTTGCCGCAGTGACCTGGATCTCCTGGCTGGCACCCCTTGGGGCTCCTTCATCAGCACAGGAATCCGAAGACAAACTGTGCACTCACCTTCATGGTTCCTGGTCTTTGTGATGTGCGAGATGAATGTGTCTTCAGCAGCAGTAGCATGCCACTTTCTTCACTTAAAAGTGCATGGGAATGGAGCTAGAGAGTAGCGGTCACGGGTGCATGCAAAACCCACGCTGCCGCACGACCAGCCACAAGCCAACTGTAGCCAAACAAGCTAACTCTCTGGGCCCTCTCATTTCCGGTTATTCTCTACCGAGCCAACTCACTGCTGCCCTCTTGCCTCTCTACTTACACTTTGTAAATGTCAAAATTATTTTTTTCCAGATAGCTGAACTCAAGCGGTACGTGAAAGACGGGTCCCCAGCGAATACGCCTATGTTAGAGCGATCAATATCTATATTTAACGTTGGTTTCTGTTTTTTTTTCACAGAGTTAGATCCTCAAAAGTGAATGTGGCTAGCTTACTGTAGCCTTCTTAGATAACTTTCAACTAAAACTAAAGAATACTTCTTTAGACCTTGCTAACTAACTAGAAGACCTTCAATTGAAGAATTAACTAAATATGCCAATTACACAAATTTGGGAACAATACGATGACTATATCCATTGCAGTTTATTTTGATTGCTAATGATTAGATTAATGACGTCATTTATGCACTTATCGTCATTCCTCAATTATCCCTCGTCATGAGAACTCACGCAAAGTTATTCAGAATCTCTCAAACTGGGTACAAATTATGGTTCTTAGCAAGACGACGCCCAAGGAGAGGGCCGCAATAGTGACTAAATTTGTCAACGTAGGCAAGGTGAGTAATAGGATTTTCGCAAAGATCTCATGACTTGTCAGGAGGGAGAGCCTAGCAAGATGAGAACTAACTTCGTAGGGCTAAGTTTGAGGTGACACCACCCCTCCACTGAGCGTCAGCCTCCCTGGGTGCTACGTGAGGCGCATTCATCAGCGCACTTCAAGGGAAGAAACTGCAAACCTCGTAAATGGTAACCTCCCATGTATATAGGGCAATGTATTTGACCTCGGCCGTCATCAGGGCCTAGCCTTTGAAGGAAATGAGCTTCAATCAGCCCCGGAATATATTTCAAAAACTGCAATTTCTGCATGAGACCAGTCAGCATGGGTCTGTCACCAATATCTGTGCAGGAGATGTGAGTAAGAGCGTCGCATGTACTGCATTCGCAGCAAAACTTGACCCAAAAGTAACAACGAAAAGCCGCGCAAGCCAAGCCTTATCCTACCTATCGCGCAACTGGGATTTCCTGTCCTGCACACTCGGTTGTATATTGCATAGTGGCTATATTGGAGCATGTCATGGACCGACACGAAAACTCTTGCAATTAATAATTAATACAATAACCCCTAACTCATAACCTCGGTAAGGGTATCTAATGATTCCCTTGTGCGGAACCAGAATCCCCATGAAGAAGTTAAGGACGTTCGGCCGGACGTTTGCCCTTGCCTGAACGGTGAAATAGCTACGGGGTGGGTGAGCCAGCTCCCGATTTGGCCATCTTGCTAACTCATTACTTACTTTATTACAGGTTTTCCAACATGTGAAATGAGGAACAAATTATGGAATGAACATAGGAATGTGCCCTTTTAATAATAGTGCCATTTTCAGCATTTACGAAAATTATGCAATTTCAATACTTTGATGGCAGTGATTGGTGGTATCACTCACAGCAATATTTCTCGGTTATCAAAAAGGAATTCCCAGTTGGCACCAGAAACTAGGAAGGTCAGTGTTTCACCAAAATTTATCCATTATTACTGGTTATCGATCTAGCTAGGTATATGGAAAGTTTTTGGATGTTTTGACTTTATTAATGTCGACGGCACTGTCCATGAAAACCAAGTACTATCTTTACAATTTAAGGCGTGATCAGCCCTGATAAGGGGGCGGAGATGGATAACCATCTCACTTACGCTCTCTTTCTATATCGCTGTGGAGGGAGTAGGGACCAATGAGCATGCCGCAGTTGTCCTCTATGTCCATCTGCTTCTCCACAAAGCCTGATATGGCGGAATGATCTTTTTGACAGGTCGCTCAAAGCGAGGTTGCAGCTCGAAGAAGTCGCACCAGCAGAGTATTGCTTGCTCTTTCTAAGCTTT